TTTTGCTGAGACACATTTATGGGGCTGTTTACACCTGGCCACTTCATGCGTTTTCTGTGATCGGATAGCTATCCGATCGTGAAAAGACCAGGTGTAAATGCCCTCCGAAACGCATTCGAGACGGATTTGAATCCGATCGCTCAAACCACTTCAGGAGGAGGTCTGGGCCGCATTCCAGACGAAACTGGACAAGTGTAAATGCATCTGGTTGTTGAAACCACATTTTAAAATTTTACTCCTCCCAAAAATGCTAAAAAATAAACGTGTGAGAGCGTGTTATAGGCTATATGTCATGTTATAGTCAGATAGGACGACGCTACTGCGAAACGCATCACCTCAGATGGGTAGCTGAGCGTCTATTCATCAAGACAACGTGCAAACTGAGCATGCAACACAACTTCTCGTCCAGGCCCTGGTCATTTCTAGGCTTGATTACTGCAATGCTCTTCTGGCTGGACTTCCATCATGTGCAACTAAACCTCTACAAATGATCCAGAATGCTGCAGCTCGTCTGGTCTTCAACGAGCCCAAAAGGGCCCACGTCACTCCTCTGCTCATCTCTCTGCACTGGCTACCACTCGCTGCTCGCATCAAGTTCAAGGCTTTGACGCTTGCTTACAGATTGACCACAGGTTCAGCTCCCTCCTACTTCCACTCACTACTACAAGTCTACATCCCTACCAGAAGCCTACGATCGGTCAATGAGCGACGGCTCGTGGTACCATCACAGCGGGGCACAAAATCACTCTCCAGAACATTCTCATTCACGGTTCCATGCTGGTGGAATGATCTCCCCACCCTCATCCGGAATGCAGAATCCCTGACAACATTCAAAAGACAACTGAAAACTCATCTCTTCCGGGAGCACTTAACTTAAAAAAAAAAAAAAAAAAAAAAAAAATATTTTCCTCTAAATCCTCGCTTGCCTGGCTTATGCTACTCCGAGCTATGTCTGAACTTTGTATTTTGAGCACTTCTTGCGTTGCTTTTGCCTCTTCACGATGACTCGCTTGGTTTAGTCCTCAGTTGTAAGTCGCTTTGGATAAAAGCGTCTGCTAAATGACTAAATGTAAATGTAAATCAAAGTGAAAGTAAGTCGCAGACGCTTAACACACAATCATCTTCATTAAAAGTAAAGAAACGAAATGATCTTACCAGGGCTGTTGCCGCTCTCTCTTATTGCGGTCTTTGGTGATCAAAAAATGCAGCTCATATCTGTTGCTTTCTGTGACGTGCACTCCATTAAATCTGCATATAGCGCGGGAGTTGAAGATCGGATTTATATCCGTTTTGCAAAGACACATTTATGTGACCAGCTGTAAATGGAATCGTTTTGATAAATCAGATAGCTATCCGATCTGAGAGAACGCATGAAGTGGTCAGGTGTAAACAGACCTTATGTGGCCAATTGTAAATGGAACCGTTTTAACAAATCAGATGGCTATCCAATCAGTAAAAACACATGAAGTTGACCAGGTGTAAACGGCGCCTTAAATTCCATGAATCGATCTTTCAGTCTATGCTGTTTTCAGTTGATGAATGAACTAAGCTTTGTAGCGCACCTCCCATGAAATAAATCGCAATAAGCTTTGTTACTTCTGATATGAAACAAAGTCTCAGCTTTTGAAATTGTCAATTTTATGACAAAATTAAAACAATAAATACTGTTTTGGCGCTCTTTAATGTGGTGTGACCGTTCGCTGTTACCTGATCTGATCATCTCTTTCGCTTAACTAGTTACAGCATTAAATAAACATGAATGAACATCAGAAGGTATGTTGAAAGATACAGTACAACTTACTGAAATCTGTATCGTCACATGTGTGTTTAGTGTTTCGCTTAGTGTTTCAACCGCCGAAAGACAGGAAAACCGCTTGTAAACAATGTCACGTAATTACATTTACCTCAGAAAAGCCATTCAAAACGCATCAGTCTGCTATTTTTACTTAACCTCAATATTGAATGTATTTTTAAATAAATGGGTCATGTTAGCCACAATTACAATTATTTATTTATTTATTTTTAAAAAGGAAAGAAAAATAATGTTGTAGTATAATATTATAAGAAACTCCCTTATGTGCAATTTAAATGTAAGTTGCCTACAAATCAGGTAATTTGAACCTTGTAGTTATATATTATAGTGATGAACCAACTAGGGTTCCTTGTACAGATTCCATTCTCAAACAGTCGAAATCGAATTGGGGTGCTTGTGAATCGAATTGTGAAATATGTGTCCGTGCCTAGTCCTAGTAATTACTGTAAACCATAGCAGACCTGGGAAATACTAGTGTTTGACATCTTTTTGTAGTCTGAGGTTTACAGGACTTAATGGACCACATGTCTGCTATTCTCTTTCTCTCTGTAGGATCCCAAACGGCATTTGGAAGAGCATGTGGATGTTCTTATGACATCCAATATTGTGCAGTGCCTCGCAGCAATGTTGGACACCGTTGTGTTCCAGTGATTTCCCTCTCCGTTTCTGTTTGTGCATAAATGTTCATATTCTACAACTGTTTTGTCTTTTTAAGAAATAAACACAAAATTCCAGTAACGCCATTGTCTTTCCTTCATGGACATCAAGGAAAGGTTGCACATGTAGAAAACAATTGTTCCAACTCTAGAAATGACTCATTATTATTATTATTATCAAGTTCATTATGTAGATCTTGAATTATTACTGCAAAGGGATGTAGTTTCAGTGTAAATCAGTTGTCCTTGCATTTCCCCTTGAAGTTCCTGAGGAATGAAATCTCTGAGGGAGATTTTCAGAGAACAACAATGAAACACCTTATTTAAGATGACAGCTCTCCAGGACGATGCTTAAGTGAGCATCAGTGTGAAATATTTATTTGTGTGCTCGGTAAACATGGTTGTTCCTGTCTAAACGGTTTCACTTGATTTCAGAAATATTTAGAAGTCACCTCTTTATAAACCCATCTCTAATTCTGTCCCTTAGATCAAGTAACATTGTCTCTGAAATTAAGCAAAGATGTAACTATTGCACACCCCCTTTAAGGTGATATAAGAGGATTATTCTTCTGTAATGACTGGCTGGCTGTAAATTATTTTACTTGTAGGTTATTTTATTGCTATCGCTAAGATAAAAGACCAGTACAATGTAGAAAGCAACAGTGTAAGCACTGCCATACTATATGAGAAAGTAATAATCTGTAATGTAGTGTGTTACTTTTTTTCTTTGGGCTAACTAGATAACTTGTTTAGCTACAATTTCCTACCATGTTATCGTTGTCATGGCGACTCTTAAACTTCGAGAAATTTATCAGTTTTTATGCTCACTGTATATTAAAATTGGCCATTATGCAATATTTAGGCCTATTTGGCCGCAATATAGTGCTGAAAAGGCCTAAAGAGTAGGCTAAATGATGTAGCGTCACCAGCTAATTTGACCAAAAATAATGACCATTAATAATAAACAATAAAAAAATATTCCGAACTGTGCTTAAAATAAAACCAAGTCCTTGGTTGAGTTTAAGAAAGCTTTTGACTGACTTAATTACTTAATTTTTTTCTTCTTTTATTTGTAGAGCTGGTGTCACTATACAGATTTCTCAGGAGGACACAGTGATATGTCAGTAGCTGGAACAGTTTTTATACACTGTAACCAGAGCCGGCCGAGCCACTAATTGCACACACCGTTGCAATTGCAAAGGGCCCCGTGGCCAGCAGAGGGCCCCTAGAGTCACTGCTAGCTAGTGGGGGGAAAAATCGCACAACAAAAGTAACATAAAATAAATAAATAAAAAGAAATGGACCTACAGCGCTCTTTATCAGACATCATGATAAGCACAGAGTTGTTATTTATTTAGTTCTGTATTATGGCAAATCAACCGGGAGCTCCCCGCGAAGGCGCGCGCGCGTCTTGATCCCGACTGCCCCATGATGTCACTCGTTGTCACTTGGTCAGTCAGTTAGCGACTCCGACGAATCGACGATGTCTGACAAGAAACGAAAATATCTTTCTGGCCAAGAAAAACGACAAAAAAGAGCCTGGAAGAAGAGAAGAAGCAAGAAGTTAAAGGTACGTAAGCCTGTATTTTCCGAGTTCTGTAATATGGATAATCTGCACTAAAAGTCTTATATTAACATTAGCCTAAATCGTGCTTGTATTAATTTTCTACAGTTGTTTAACTTACATGCTAATAACATGCTGCATAAAATTGGTTTAGTATTAGGTCTATACCATTTGCTGTGGTGTATATATGTGGTGTTACTGTTAAAGCATTTAACAGAACAATATAAACCCAGTTTGGATTCTACACTAAAGGGCTAACATTAGTTTACTCCTTATGTCCCCTTAGGAGCACTATTAAAGTAATATTATATGCTGCCAGTAAGCAAAGCTCCAGCTGTTGGTGAGTATAAAGGGGCTGTAAAATGATAACCTTCTGCATTTTAAAAATTAAGTCTAACTTTATGTATAATTATTTTCTTTATTTGGATTGGATTTTAATAGTTATATTGAAATGTTACCTTATTCTTAATATTGTTACTATTGATCTTCTTTGTGGTGTTTTAGATGTTATTGTTAATTTTGTTTATTTGAAAAATCTATTTATTATTTTATATAATATTATATTTAAATGTTATTCTATTCGCTCTATTTAATTTAAATTGAATATATATATATATATATATATGTGCTGTAGTTTGTGACTCTTAAACTCTGGTGTCAATAAAAATGTATCTTTGTTCAGTGATAATCACTTTATCTGTCTTTTTATTCAGCAAGTTAATCAGTGTGTGTGTGTGTGTGTGTCTTGCACTGCCATTCAGCTCAGTGGTATCATAATTTTCCTGTTAGACATCAAACATAGTATATACAGTATAATATATAGTATGGTATAGTTATAAGGTAGTCATTGCTTTTCTTTAGGCCTTAAAACGGTCAAAGGGGCCTCCAACCAAATTTTGCTTAGGGCCCCCAAAGGTCTAGGGCCGGCTCTGACTGTAACCCACTCCAAGAAACCGCTTAATATGCTTAATGCCAATCTAAATGCAAATACCAGCCCATTCTGCTGCTATCAAATGCGGAGCGACGTCATTTTCCTATATTAGGCTCGGTGTGAATACGCTCTAACAGACTGGCACGTGCAGCAGAGGGCATGAACACTCAGTCAAAGCAGCATGTCTGAGGTCTGAAGTTCTCAACCCAGGTTGAACTCCGAGAACTTTCTCATTGAGTTATGCACCTGCAACAACTCCGTTCACCGTCCGCACTGGCCAACAAACCAGTGAGTGTGGACAATGATTTTACGCACATCACCGCCGCGGGGGACGCGCGCGTCTCCTCCTCCGATGACACACTGGAGAACGAGCCACCTTTCAAAAGACTCTCCACAGGGATGAGAAACACGCAAAACGCTCTGGACTGCGTCTCCGCGGCACGGGATGACAGTGACGGCGCGGACAAGTGTAATTTACCTGAATCAAGTCAAGCGCGGACAGATTTCGCATCGTCTTCTGCAATGTTCTCGTATTCAGGTCAGCATGTAGTGCCCGCGCTCCCGGCACTCTCCAGTCACTACATGACAACTCACCCGGTCATCAGCAACGGGCCGTACAACGGGCTGAGCTACGCGTACTCACAGCCGTACGGACAAACTTACACAAACGCCGCAGTCTATCCTTTCCACCCGGTGCCCGGTAAAGCGCAGGTTTACCTGTGTAACCGGGCGCTGTGGTTCAAATTCCACAGACACCAAACAGAAATGATCATTACTAAACAGGGACGGTAAGTCTACTTTTTAAAATTAATCTATTAAATCGATTTATAATAGGATTTAGTTGAAAGCTTAAAGATCAAAAGAATGGTCATATTTTTGAACAATTCTTTTTTAAATATATTTTTTCATATTAAATTGTTTATAATTGTTTTACTTACTTTGGTTATAATTTATTATAAATTGGTTTAACATTTTTCAGTCGAATTTTCATATTTATTGCAGGCGGATTTTAGGCCTATTTCTGGTATTTCAGTGCGTAAAAAAATATAAATATGTAGGTTATATTTTATTTAGTTACATTTTGAAATATTTAAATAGTCTATTTTCTTTTTGAAAAGTAATTTGTTGTTTCGTCTTTTCCCTACAGCCGGATGTTTCCGTTTCTTAGTTTTAGTGTTTCTGGTCTTGACCCGATGTGCCACTATAATATTGTTGTGGATGTGATTCTGGCGGATCCGAACCACTGGAGGTTCCAGGGCGGAAAATGGGTTCCCTGTGGCAAAGCGGACACGAATGTCACCGGTAAACCCCCTGTTACGGGTAAACTCTAATTATCAACCGACTGGAGAGGAAATTAACATGAAGCTTTGCACCGAGCAGATAAAAAGAGTCACAGTGTTTTAAGTGGGCTATCGTAGCGTAATTACCTCATGACCAAATTATAACTATTCTGAAAAAAAAGTCAAACAAATAAATATTAAGTACACTGTAATAATAATGTTTGTTACTTCCGTTTAATATTAGCCCTAACAGATGAATTAAATGTTTTTATTTATTATTTAAAGGAAACCAAGTATACACGCACCCGGACTCTCCAAACACCGGCGCGCACTGGATGCGTCAGGAGATCTCTTTCGGAAAACTGAAGCTGACAAACAACAAGGGAGCTTCCAGCAACTCCACTCAGGTTTCTTGTGTGATTTTCTCTTCGTGAAATTAACCAGTATAAGTATTTTAGTCTAAATATATATAGGGTGAGTGAGTCAATAATCAACAATAACTGCCATTCAGAATATGTTTTCATTTGTCAGCGATCGCCATCTACGGCCCGTGGGCCGTGACAATGATTTTATTTGGCACATGACAAAAAAAAAAAAAAGATCTTCTCAACTTTTTATTTTTTAAACGATAACAATGTTGTTTCAAAATGACATTGTTTGTGAGGGTCTCACTTTTATCTTAACAAGTTACCTTAAAGGGATAGTTCACCCAAAAAAGAAAATTCTGTCATCATTTACTCACCCTCTAGTTGTTCCAATTCCAAACCTGTCTTTGTTCTGGTGAACACAAAGGAAGATATTTTGAAGAATGTTTGTAACCAAGCAGACCTCTCCTCCCATAGACTACCACATTTTTTTCCTGGGAGTCGATGGGAGGCGAGATCTGCTTTGTTAAAAACATTCTTCAAAATATCTTCCTTTGTGTTCAGCAGAACAAAGAAATGTATATGATATATTATATTAACAACTTGAGGGTGAGTAAATTATGACAGAATTTTCATTTTTATGTGAACTATAGTGAAGATAAATAAAGTGATGCTTTTTAAATGAAAAATTTTCACCCAAAAATTAAAATGTTGTCATCATTTACTCACCCTCATGTGGTTTCCCTTAATTATTATCACACTATTATGAGCTAAAATGTCATAAACCATATTACAACCACCTTTATTTCCTTGTTTGTTGACTGTAATAGCACAAACATGAAGCTATACCTGTCATTTATGGTGTAGTAACAAGCAAGCAAGACAATTATATACTGTATGTATTCCTTATTTTTATGGGCAGCTTGTGAAGTTCATGGTGTGTGGAATGGGATTTTCTTTTTAATATATGTTTTTTCTTTGTCCTTCAAGATGATCGTTCTACAGTCTCTTCATAAGTATCAGCCGAGGGTCCATGTGGTTGAAATAAACAAGAGTGGAGATGAAGATACAAGTGATCCTGATCGAGTACAAACGTTTACCTTTCCCGAGACGCAATTTAGAGCCGTCACAGCTTACCAGAACACAGATGTAAGAACTAGTCTTTCACGGCATTCATTTACACTACAAAAACAAAAAAAGACAGAAAGAAAGGGATATGAACTGATTTAATTCATATGTTTCTTTATTTCCTCAGATAACTCAACTAAAAATTGACTACAATCCATTTGCTAAAGGATTTCGGGACAATTATGATTCGTAAGTCCATTCACATGCAAATCAATGCATTGATAATTTATTCTCTTGCGGGTTTTCGGATCTGAATTTTCATTTTGACTTGACTGCGGAAATTAACATGTTTTTAAAAATTCATTTAAATAAATTGAATTTATTAAGATTAACAACGATATTTATGATGATATTATTATTGTTGATGATATTAATAATAATTAAATCCTAAAACATTTATTTTGGACTGTACATTACAGTGTCCATGTTACACATATTCCAAATTTAAATAATTACAGAAGCAATGCCACTAACAGTAATGGACATTATTATTCACCTTTTCCCTAACAACTGCATTTTAGATTATGGGAAGTACTTCCTGTTTGGGGAAGTTCTACTCAAAAAGACGGAAAACAAATCATTTCAAATCATAAGGTTGCGCTACAATATGTATTCCTCATCCGTCAGTTTGACTGAATTATCTGTAAAACGTCCTTCAGGATCTATATTTTAAGACTTGAGAATAACGCTTGGTATTTTTTAACATTGTATAACAAGAATATCTGTGGTAAGAGCTCTTTTCAGTCGCTGCATTCTTTTCCTACTGATTATTTTCTTTTCCCCCTTTGTTTTCCACTGTAACAGTATGAGAAAAGACAACTACAAATTACATGATCAATAAGTCACGACAACATATGTTTTTACATTACTTCAACTCATCAAAATAAGTTAAGCCATTTAACGAGATTCAACAAATTTTTTAAGTCAGTTTAATGTAATTTAAGTTTAAATGACTTAAACAGCCAAGTTGATTGTACTTAAATTTAAGGCAGCAAGTTTTTTTTTTTTTACAGTATGTGGTCTGCCTTCCCGATTTAATTTATGATAAATCCCATTAATAATTCACTAGAATGTGATAAGAATCTCTCACTTTTCTCCTCTCTTTCTCCCAGGTTTGTTTTCGGATGCATTAAAATGTAATTGTCTACCCATTTCACTTCTAATATTAGCAGTGTTTACTGGAATGTTTCTTAAGCAGGTATATACAATATTGTCTGTCAAAATGACGGAAATCACTTTTGAAATATTACTCTATGTACCAGTTATTGAACATTTTTGATTACGTTACATAATACAGACACGCTACAGTGATATTTAACATGTCTGCAAGATTTCTGCGGAAGTAATCGAGATTTTGGGGTTATTCATGTTCTCTTTGTAATTTTTGTTAATGCTTTTACACTTTTAAATTTCCTTTTAATGTTCGATGGAAATGCTTTTGACAAAATGCTTATTATTGCGTTCACAGAGCCAACCTTTTGCTGATTGTTTACAGTTTACCAAAACTAGCTCTCATAATTTGCGCAAAGCGTCATGGGTCGTTAGGACAACATATGTTTTTACATTGCTTTAACTCATTAAAATAAGTTAAGCAATTTTCAACTTTGTTATACAAGATTCAACTCATTTTTTAAAGTCAGTTCAATATAATTTAAGTTGAAATGACATAAACATCCAAGTTGATTGTAAAAATTTTTTTTTTTTTACTGTATAATCTAATTTCCTCCTGTTTTTTCTCCAGAAGTTACAGTGGCTGCGACGCTGACCGACTGACCCCAACACCCGGCGACTCTCCACACTCTCAGCTGCTGCTTGGCTCACGGTACGCAATGACAAGCGCCTTATTCCAGGAGCAGTTAGTCAACAGTTACACAAAATCCTGTTTTACAACTCTTAGCCCTGACCCTGGCACTACTGACCGACCATTCATGCTTACTAACAGCCTATCGGACCAAACCCAAGAGAGCAGCAACTCCGGACAGCGCTGGTTTGTGTCGTCCTCGGCTGCTCCATCATACGAAACTGATATAAACACAGCAGCTCTGCTCTCTTACGCCACAGCGGGGGTCAAAGGTCTGCCTTTTACTAGTACTGGTGGCACTGGTAACAGTTTGGATTACTACACCAGTGCTGCTGGATGGGATTCAAGGGGTTCGCTAGAGAACAGCAGCAAAACCGCCTCAAATCTGCCTGGTTGGGTCATAGATACGACTCTTGGAAGATCGACACAAGCGAATTACATGCTCGAGGATGGAAATATGTTGGAAATAGACAGATCTGCTCTGGAGGTTTCCGAGGAGCTTGAAGGAAAAGATGCCACGGATTCGACATGGACCGAGACTCAATCTTCCATTAAATCAGTCGATTCCGGTGATTTAAGGATTTTGGAAGAAGCGCAACAGAGAAATTCCTCTATCACTCTTGTTTCAGATGTTCAGACTGCAAAAGACATTCAGCTCTCACAGAACAGGGAAAGAAATGTGATCAAAGAATCTGACTTTTTTCATTTTGGCACTCAAACGTAAACCTGCCATGGGCTGAGTGTGCAATTAAAATGTTGTTAGTATAGAAATAACATTATGTATACGATATTTATTTATTTTAATGTTAATGACACCATTGCTGCACCATGTCTGAGCTGAGTATTTGGTGTATTTTTGTTTTCAGTGGTGTTAATATGAAAAAAAGAGAGGATTAATAGACATTAATAGACCGTCATGAGTGTTTGTTAAAACATACAGTCCCAATATAATATATCTAGATACATTGTTATTAGCTTAAAATCACAACAGTGTTTGATATGGGAATTATGATCGTGATCTATCAAAACAGATAGATTAGATGCGTATTGTAAAATATGTTAATGTGAAGTCATGACATTCTGCAGGTGCCAGAATGCTTGATGTATAATGTTAATAAATTGTCAGATGTTTGAGTATATTAAATCCCCCAAAAAATCTTTGCAACTTAAATTACAGTTTAGATTCGGTTTCTTGATGTACTAGTATTTGCATTACAACATTGCAAGTTGGTGTGAGTGTGTAATATTTCACAACACTGACACCTAGCGGCGAATGCAAGAACGAACTCTCGAATGCTGTCTACGAGGGCTGTGTAAACCTGACCAGGTTTTGGGACACCGCTTATTTGTCCTTGACCCGGAGGAAATAAGAGTTTAATTCTACCATAAGCAAAAGGCTTAAACACGGAAGCAGAATCTATCACTAAATGCCGTTACAAACTCTCTTAGTGTACATTACAGTGAAGGGATCAAGTGAAGAATGCAGCTCTTTCAGCAGCTGTTGAACCAGAAATAACCGGACCCACCTAAACAAAGCAACTCTGCTGGCCTAACTCATATTCATATATGTCTAAATACGTATTTATTTATAGAATATATGAACCGTACATGAATAGTTCACTCAAAAAGTAACATTTTACCCTATTTCCTCACCTTCATGCTATTTCATTCGACCATGTTCAGTTTAATGCCACTGGTTCTTGCTTATCTAGTCAAACACTGCGCGTCAGTTTGAATACGTGGAATGGTATCATTTTTAGCGGTAACGCAGAAAGGAAGAGGTCCACTGAAAAGCCTACTGACTTAATAACAATTCCATCCTATTTTTTTCTAAACAAAAAGCTATCATACGTCTTTATAAGACTTATTATAGCCTACTAAGTAAACTAGGTTATTTTATGGTGCTTTTAATGTGTTTCCCCCTCTTTTCCCTGATAACACACATCACGGGAAACGTCTATTTGATGTCTGCATAACATCTGCAAGATGTATTTTTTAGAGTGTTTGCTCATCTGCATATGCCTCTAAGACGTTTCCTGTCAGACGTTAAATAAACATGTAGATAATATCTTTGAGATGTTTTTTATTTAGAATGTATGTAAAACTGCCTTTTTCTGATACGTTTAGATATTTGTGCACAGCAGATATCTTCCAGATGAAGCGCTCTTTAGCAGACATCTTAGAGATGCATACGCCTAGACTAGTTGTGCTATATCTGGATTTTATAGGCATATCCTTTTTTTGTTCCACAGAAAAATAACAATCTGGATTTCGAAAACCATGAAGGTGAGTAGCATAAATAGCGAAAGCATTTCCTTGCAACTTTTCCAAGTAATTAGCAGCCTATACAAAGCCCACAAGGTGGCGTCAAAGTCTAATGGGAGAGATTGATTGAATGATTGTTGATAGTTGTTGAAGTCCCGCGGTAAAGCACTTTAGATAAACTATGCCATTGGTAGATAGGCTTTATGTACAATTCTGTATGCGGGTTTGTAAACAAAGCACATTCAATTTCTTATTTATGAAAGGATGAACATTCCTTCAGTTTAAGGTTTAGATGGTTAGAAATATCACTGAATAAATCCACTGTTCATTTTACATTTAATTGTTTAAATCATGTTGCTTTAATTGTCCATGCTGTAAATGCAATTCCACTGCTGGCATTTAGCTGAAACGTTAGTTAGCCTATAGTGCGTGTGTATGTGTTTGGAGGGAGGATGGATTTATATTTGAAAGTCATTTTCAAGGCACAGTATGGACTGTTATTGCCTAGAAACAATATATAGGTCATTTTGTGATTTTTATTTTATTTTTTATTTTATGTTAGGCTAATATCTTTTTTTAACAGCCGATAACAGCGCACACTGCAAGAGAGAATAGCCACACACTTTTAACCAAAAACCGTATTACTGAAAATATTATGCTCTCTCTTATATATATTATCTTATATAAAACAAATATTATGGTCTGACTCTTAAAATAGGCAGTTATAGGTTATTAAAACATTTCTGACCGAATTGAAAAACCCAGTTTATGTAGGCTAGTTGTTAGGCTATAACCTGAGGTTTTTTCATCTTTATGGTTTGCATTTTTTGAACTAAGCGCGTTCTTTAAATAATATTCCCACACTGTAGTAAACCGAAGCCTCAAGTATCCTTTTTGTCCCCGGAGTGTTTAATCCATTTACCCATCGCGTCCCGGTGGTTTCTGTTAACTCACGTGCTGCCGGTCGCAGCTGCGTCACGCGAGCGCAAATGACACGCTGAAGGAGCGCACGCACGGACGCGCGCGAGTGAAGAAAGAACGAAAAAACCCAACGGTCACTAACTGTTACACCGCTACCGAAACCGCATCAATATACATGACATTTTTTCTCCTCCTTCCTATCATTAGTTTGGAGAAAATTCACCACAGACGAACAAGACAAGGCTAAGCCAAAATATCAGGGATGGATGTGAAAGATCAAGGAGCGCAGATGGAGCCGCTTCTTCCTGCGGTAAGAACCAGTTTCATCTTTCATGTGGGATCCGTAAATGGAAGAACAATGAAGACATGATGCTGTTGCGTGTTGCGGAAAAGAGGTTTCGGTGGTTCGAGCTGCACTGGGTTAGAGCCCATTATGGCCATCATTCACCCACCACCATTGGAAGACATTGTGTTTTAATTATTCATGGCACCTTTAATAAAGACCAATTAACTGGGAAAATGGCTCACGTTACGGCGTTTGTAGGGTGACTAAGGTTCACACCGGCTTGCGTGGATTACACACGTTTTTAGTATTGTGTATTGGCGTAGCCTATATGCGGTGTACATGTGTGTGTTCAGCATTTTCATGAGTTGCATAAATCACATTTCCCCTGCATTACTCTTGAATTTGATGAGGCCTTCACATGCTTGACACGAGATTCCACCTGTTCACCTCATTTACATTTATTGCCATGGATATGTGTACATATTTATGGTTGGAGAGAGACCATATGAAAATATAAGAGATACTTCCAGCTTAGGCTCATTGGAAAAACGTGCCACCTGCATTTGTGTAAAAGTCGAACCAACTGCGTAGATACAATTTACTGCAGTTTCCAGCTGAAATGAACACTAGTGGCAATAAAAAACCAACATCCTTTATCCCCTTTCACACATAATGATTACATTGGCAGAGTATCGATGAATTAAGACTTGTTTAGTTTACCATTCACTATGGTAAAATTGTTTTGAACACTTTTATCATTGTGCATGAGTTGTAAACTAATACATTTTGACATTCGTGCCATATAACCACCTTCGTATGGCTTTTTTTGACAATGAACTTGCTTAGTAGCTCACCTGCTACAGCTTGCAATGCGGAGTGTTCGGGAAACACAGGTCATGATTTGTCAAAGACTTGTAGAAGCGGGCTAAAAGGTTGCTTAGTGCCCGAACTGGTGTGATACATACAACAACCAAATAAATAAAACCTTGCCGTTAATTTGTTTTGGTCAAAACTGAATGTGCTTTTACCGGCACTCACTGGACACCACTCTTTGAAATTGTCGCAAAACGTGCAAAAAGCAATGCAATAGGCTATCATTATAAAGAAATGTCGCCACACGCATGTCCCCCCCCTCCCCCTCCCATTGAGTCTGGATAGTTTACCAAAAAAAAATGAAAATTCATAATTTATTGACATCATTCCAAACCTGCATGACTTTATTTCTTCTTTGGAAAATAATATGGTTTGGTTTATAGCCAAAACAATAGGTTACTGTCGTAACCCCGGTTCTCTGAAACATCGAGTGGAGAGATCCACCTATGGGAAGGGCATCCGTACCTGACCTCTGCAGAAGCATCCAATTGCACCAAGTCTGGCTAACAGACAGAAGCGCGCAGCCAATGCCAGGTGAGGCCACACCCCCTTACCTACGGGCATATCACAGCTGGGCGCGCTGCTATTCCTCAGTCAGTATATTCGCTTCTCGTGCGGCAAGCGGGGCAAGGCTGGTGGATCTCTCCACTCGATGTTTCAGAGAACCGGGGTTACGACAGTAACCTATTGTTCTCTTTCATCATCTCGTTTCGAGATCCACCTATGGGAGAGACATGGACAGCTCCCCGATTGCCCAATACACTCACAGTGAGGTTCTGAAGGCCAGAGAAGGACGGTCACCTCAGAGAGGCGGTGCCTGACACGTCCCACAAACATGACCCTGCAAGTTTTCCGCCACGCTAACTGCTGTGGACAAGCAGGGCATGAAACATGCATGAGACACATACATGATAATGGCCCCCGCACCACCAATGCACATAGCTAAACCCAAGAAGGAATGCGAATGCTTGGTGACAGGAATGAACATGGCCAGCCGGCCCATTCACTCCTCGTTGGTTAACCAAACGGGGCTGTGGGAAAGGGCTAAGAGGACCCTACCCCTAGGACCGAGTGTGCCACCGAAGTTCTGGTGACATCCAACCGGTAGTAACGCTCAAAGGTATGAGGAGAGGCCCAGCTGGCCGCGGAGCAGATGTCCTGCAGTGGCACTCCCCTGAACAAAGCCCAAGAGGCGGCTAAGCCCCTTGTGGAATGAGCTCTGATGCCCCTTAGGGCTGCACTCCCTTTGCTTCATAAGCCATAGTATAGCGTCCACAAGCCAATGTGAGAGGCATTGCTTTGAAATGGGACTCCCCTTGTGCAGGGGAGCCCTAGAAACAAAGAGCTGGTCGCTCTTGCGGAAAGCACTGGTCCTGGTCATTATGCTTGCAGAGCACGGACGGGACACAGAGCATTCAGCCCCTGATCCAAAGGGTGGAGGGTGAAAAGCGGATAGCTCCAAAACCTCCGACGTGAACGCAGGGAAGCATTTCGGCATGAAGGCCGGGTTAGGCTTAAGGAAAACCTTATCTCCACTTAGGGAGAATTTGGCGCACGAGGGGTGAACCGAGAGTGCATGTAGCTCACTGACCCGTTTAGCAGATGCCAAGGCCGAGAGCAAAGCTGTCTTGAGGGACAGCAGCTTAAGGGAAATACTCCCCAGAGGCTCAAAAGGATACAGAGACCGCGCTTCCAGCACCATGGAGAGGTCCCACTCTGGGACAGATACAACAGATCTCCTGATGACCAGCAAAGAGCGGCGTGCACCCTCCATAAATCTGCGGGTTAGAGGGTGCTGCCTGACGGTGGAGCCCCAAAACCCACATGACAGGCTGAAATCGCAGCCAGGTAGACCTTAATAGTGGAAAAGGACCTGCCTCTTTCCATGAGGTCTTGCAGGAAACACAAAATATCAGGCACCGAGCACTGATAAGATGTGAAACCACGCCCATCATACCACCCTTCGAACACTTGCCACTTACAGCCATATAGGGATCGCGCGGAAACGGCCCTGGCCTTCTGAGTAGTGGCGATTACACGCGGCGGGAGCCCCAGTGCATTTTGGTTCGTCCTCTCACGGGCCAGGCCCAGAGAGCCACCCTGTCCGGGTGGGGGTGGTAAATCTCCCCGTTGGCTTGGGACAGTATGTCCGTGCGAGGGGGGAGGCGCCATGGCTCGGCGTATAACAGAGGGATTATCTCTGCCAGCCATGGGGCTTTGGGCCACCTGGGTGCTATTAGAGTGAGAGACAGGCCGTGCTCTCTCACCCTGGCCAGAGTGAAAATTATCAGGCACAGGGGAGGAAAAGCATACAACAGCACTTTGGGCCATGGGTGGGCCAGTGCGTCTGCCCCGAGGGGCGCGTCCATGTCCTTCAGCGAGAAGAACATAGGACAATGGTGATTTTCGCGCGAGGCGAAAAGATCTACGGCTGCCTGTCCCATCTCATCCATAACCTCTCCACTATCTGCGGGTGAAGACGCCAATCCCCGTGGATTGGGTTTCCCCTCGATAGCAGATCCGCGCCTCTGTTCCGAATGCCCGGGACATGAGTCACGCGTAATGACAGAAAAACCTGTCTGCTCCACACCAAAAGCCTGTAAGCTAGAGCGTGGAGTTTTGACGAGCGCATGCCACCCTGACGGTTGATATAAGCCACTACCGTGGTATTATCGCACCGTACTAGAACAGGATGTCCCTGCAGGCAAGGCAGAAAATGATTCAGAGCTTTCCAAATAGTAAAAGCTCTAAATAGTTAATGTGCGCTGAACGTAGTCTGCTCAGCCACAGACCGTTCACCGTTCTGCCTTCCTGGGTGGTTCCCCAGCCTGTTAAGGACGCATCTGTCGTCAAAACTTTTCGCATCGTACCGTCCCGAGGGGGGGTTCCCTGTGCGTAAAAGTTCTCACTCACCCAAAGGCGCAAGGCCGCCGAGCAGGCGCGCGTCATCGTTACCGAGCGGCAGAGATCGCAAATCGGGCTGAAATGTAGTGTACAAAACCCATTTCGTGAACGTTCTCATTCTCAGGAGACCAATGGCACAACTTGGATAGATGAAGCCATGAGATCCTGCAGCCTGAGGCATGTGCGATATTGTACTCTCGCCCCTTCACTGAACTGAGACAGACAGTCCATCAGCGAGCGAACGCGCTCTTGAGAGAGACGCGCTCGCATGGAGACTGAGTTCAATTCCAAGCCCAGGAAAATGACATTCTGACTGGGAGTCAGATTGTTTTCGCTCGCATTCACCTTGAACCCGAGGGATGTGATGTGCGCGAGCACCCGGCCGGTGCCCAGCGACACCTTCTCCTTTGATTTGGCTATGATGAGCCAGTAAGTCAGAATTCTCAGCCCTGATAGTCTCAGGGGCGCCACGCCCACCTCCACACACAGACAGAAAGTTCGGGGACTCAAATTGCACCCGAACGGAAGAACTGTGAATTCGTAACAAACGCCTTGGTAGGCGAAACGAAGATATTTCCTGTGTGGAGGGTAGATGCTTATGTGAAAGAAAGCATCTTTCAGATCGACTGATGTGAACCAGTCGTTCTGCTTTATGGCACAGGCGAGAGAGGCTTGTGTCACATTCTGAAATTGAATTTCCTCAAATGTTTGTTCAACACTCGAAGGTCCAATATAGGGCGGGGGGGCGCCACGCCTTTTGGAACATGAAAATACCAGGAATAAAAACCATGGTTTATCAGATTGGGTGGCACCATCTGAATCGCTCCCTTGTTAGGAGGGAGGAAATTTCCTCTTTCAGAATGTGTGTGGCGTTTTCTTCTGTGTGAGAAGAGAGAACGCCGTTGAAATGCGGAGGTTTTATTGCAAACTGCAGCTTGTAACCCTGGGTTACAGTACGCAAAAACCCACTCGGGCGCTGAAACGGCTTGCCAAGCCGCTTTGTGACTCGCGAGCGCCCCCGCTCGGGCCGGAGCGGAGCTGTATGGGCCCAGCTGGTTCATTTGTGATGCAAAGGCGCCATCTAGTGGGAACACTAGAGGCAACATGCAGGGGTTTGGAGGGATTTCCTCTCTCTGCAGTGAGAAGTTTTCTTTGCGGAGAGAGGTCTCCTCTCCAAAACGAATTAATTTGATTCGTAGCTTTGTGTGTTTTGTGTTGGGCAAACACTGGGGCCAAAGCCTTTATTG